GCTAAAAGGTAAGCACTTATAGTAAAGTCATCTAACAAAGAGAAGAAATCCCAATCGATTTTTCTCTTGTTGAAATGAAAATGGTGCTGTTGAAAACTAAATACAATGACCATGGTCATTGGCAAATTACTGGTTCACAATGAGGAAACAGGCAAGACCATACTCTCAGCTGATTCTGATTTAGATAAAAAGTTTCATCCAAAAATGAGTGTGGAAAGAAGATGAACTTATTGAATCTATGACTTAAACACGATGGATGTGTTTTTTTTTTTTGGGGGGGGTAGTTTTGTTTTGGAGTACCAGGGATTGAAACTATAAGCACTTAACCAGGAGCAACATCCCCAGCCTGTTTTATTTTTAGTTTTGAGACAGACTCTCCCTATGTTGCTTAGGACCTCACTAACGTTCTGAGGTTGGCCTCAAATTTGCAGTTTTCCTGCCTCAGCCTCCTGAGCTGCTAGGATTACAAGAGTGCAGGAGGATCGAAAATTTGAGGCCAGTCTCAGCAACTTGTGGGGTGCTCAGAACCTTAGGGACATCCTGTCTCAAAAAACATTTTAAAAGGGGGGGCTGGGGATGTGGCTCAAGTGGGTAAGCCCCCCCCCCAAAAAAAAAAAACAGCACAGCTTAAGAAAAAAGCCAGTTGACCATGAATCATTTTTTTTTTAAAAAAAGAAATTTAATTTAAAGATATTAGCATGTTGTTTTCTGGTCTCTTAAATATAGAATCTCAGAGAAAGATTTTAAATCCAACACTTGTATAATTTTCTGTTCACCTGTCTACCTTCTCTTTAAAGAACCACAGCTGGTAAACAATCATAAGGAAAATTACTACTTATCTAAGTCCCAAACTCAAACCTTTCTCTTCTCATCCCAAAATCTAGAAAAAATATTTTCTAAAAATCATATTTTCTAAGATCCAGTACCATGATATAAATGAGAAAGCAAACTTGGATGGACAAGAAACTCTGAAGAGCCCCTGAACAAGAGAAAGCAGAAGAACAGAATTAAGGAAAACCAGAAGGGCCCTAAGTGGACATGTGAGTAAGTTCTATACAAAGCTGGGTGGCTCTGGGCTGATCCAAAACTAGGAGGGGAACAAAACCTCAGGGCAGTGCACGGCTTACGTAGACCAAACCTCAGGGTGAGCAGGTAAGAAACGAGTAGAAGCAGAATGAGAAATAACCTTTCTGAGTGGGTCTAACCTCCCATCTTGGGCAGTGCATCCAGCAACAGTCATAGTTAACTCCAGTGTGGGAACTTACAGAAGTGAAAAAGATAATGCTAGGTGCTGCTGTTAACACCTAGAGTCAGAGGGAGCCCCAGCATGGGAAAGCCCATGTCAGTCATGAGCCAGAAATTGTAAAAAGTAAAAATCAGCAGTTAAAAGGGAAAAAAAGTCCAAAAGTGGAAGACATAACTAAAGAGCAAAGTAGTGAGCAAACTAATTCTCTCATAATATAAACACAGAAGGACAGCAAATGAAAATTATTAAAGATTGAGAAGGTGGGAAATGAACTTGATCCAATTATGTTTTGTGCATGTACAAATATGTCACAACTAACCCTGAATAATCATAATACACCAATAAATTTTTAAAATTTTAAAAACAGAAAGGTTGAAAGAGATGAAGACAGAACACTTCTGTCTCCATCCAACAAAATGGATGTGTCCTGTCTCCATCCAGTGAAAATTCATTCAGAAAAATAAATGGAAAAAATATGCAGAGCAAATCAATAAGAACATTTTTCTGGAACTGAAGACATGAAACTTTATATTGAAAGGGCACCCCCCCATGCCAAACAATTCTAAAACCACCTGGTACCTTGTTACATTGGGGTGAAGTTTAAGAATAACATGAATAAGGAGAAAATTCTCAAAGCTTCTAGGGGAAAAAGAGAAGCATAACTTACTTCAAGAAACAAGCATCCACTGACCTCAGCAACACTGTATACAAAAAGAATGTGGTAATCACCCTGATGCAGGAGGCTGAAGCAGGAGGATCACAAGTTCAAAGCCAGCCTTGCAATTTAGCAAGAACTTGTATCACAATAAAAGATAAAAAAAGGGCTGGGGATGTAGCTCAGAAGTAGAGCACCCATGGGTTCAATCTCAGTACTACATACACACACACACACACACACACACACACACACACACACACACACGTAAATATCTGCAAAGTTCTAAGAATTTTGAGTATAATTTATTTTAACTCAGCCATTTCCATTGAGAAGAAAAAGTACAGGCTGATTTTCCATCAGGGAGATATTTTTTTCTATTTCTCTGAAAGAAATACTAAAAGATATAAACCAGCAAAAGGGAAAATCACTCCAAGAGGAAGTCACAGGATACAAAAAAATCAATGACAATGACAGACAAAGAAATTGGAAATCTTCAAGAAAATGGGGTACGAATCTAATAATAAAGTCCCAAGCTGAGGGATGGGTTGGAAGAAGTATAGGAAAGTAAAATTACTTTTCCAATCTTTTGGTCATTACCTCTAGACACCTGCAAAAAATATTTGTTGACATAGGTATTGTACATACTTCAGCTTTATATATATTTCAAAAAATACAAATACAATTTAAAACTTTCAAACAAGACAAAAAAAAACCACTCTCAATGAAAATAAAAGAAAAACACTATAAAAAATAAGTAAAGCCTATGAAGAAGCAATTCACCAAAGCATAATCACAATCTAGTGGATATATAAGATACTCAGTAGCAATCAGGGAAATACAAACTGGAAAGTAATGACAGCAACTTTTAAGAGACAAAACTAAGAAGTTTTCTGATACCAAGGCATAACTTGCTAGGGTGTCAATAAATGGATGTAGCCAATTTTTAATGTACAAACCATGTAAACTAAAAATCATGTTTCCTACTACATACTCTAGAAAAATCTTTTTAATTGCACATAAGTACAAAGAACATGAATAAGGAGGCTTTTGGAAGCACTGTGATAGTAATGGAAAATAGCAAAGCGCCCACTAAAATGGAATAATTAGTTTAATTCAGATATGTTCTACCATGAACATCACGCTGGGGTTCAAAAGGATATGATGGATCAATTACTTCCAACCTGACATGGTCATGAGGAAGAAAAAGATAAGCTTTGAATGTAATATAGGAAATCATTTTCACAACAAAGTGAAACGTCATTATTATTTGTGCAATTATAAGTAAAAACACTTTGAAAGAAAAAAAAAGTAACTGGGAAAGAATAAAACAGTTTAAAAACACAAAAGGGGTAAGAAAATTAGTGTTAATTCACCTGAAACATAATGTCACTCTTTGATAAGCATCATCGACATTGAAATGCATTATGAATGTCCTCATGGATCAGTCAAACCTATGCCCTCATGATAGTGGATTAAAAATCTCACTCTCATGCACAAAATCCATGGAGAAATTTGTAGGAAAAAGAAATTTTAAAAGTTATTGAAAACTGACAAATTGATTAATACTAATGGGTTCATGCCCTACATTTCTTCTACCCAAATCACAATGGTCCAACATGACACACATGGTGGGGTGTGCCACTGTCGTGCTAGTAAGACAACATGGCCAAAAATTAAAATTGAAAAAGAGAATTGTTTTCAGGCAAGGACAAAGCAGACATCTATTAAGAGGCAGCTTGAGAAATCAGAGCAGGAGTCAGATGCTTTCTCTCTTTTCCTCTCAGTGGTTGCTGGACCAGTGTGGTCACTATAGCCATGGGGAATTGGAGGCCAGCCAAAGGCCAGGTGACTCAACACTGAACTTCTTGTCCCTCTAGGCAATTTCTCTCAGTGGTGCAAATTTGTACCAGAACAGAGAACAGTTACTTTCTTATCAATCAGGAAAAGAAATATATTAAAAATTGTTTTTTTTTTTTAAAGTGATGACTAGCAAAGAAAACTGAGGAAATGTGGCAAGAGAACCAAGACTGATTTCCATTATGAAATCAAAGGGCTCTATTTGTGACAGAAAAATCTGTGGGAATGGTAGAACAGTCTTCTAACGTCCTCCAAGGTAAGAAACAAACACTTTTTTTATTTTCATTATGTTTCATTTAGAATAAGTTAGCAGTTATATTTTTCTTAAATAAAAAATGGATCTCAAACAGGGTCCCAAAACCAAAAATAGGGTGTCTGTGGCTAAAACACAGGTTCCTGTGGACAAGAACCAGGTGTACATGGCTTTCTGCTGTGCCACCAGCAGGTAGGCCAGATGAGACATAATGGTGAACTTGTTGACTGGTTGACTGGTTAAGATAAAAATGAAAGATTAACATGCCTATGTGGGCACTGTAGAGGTATGTCGCAGAACAGCAAAATCCTCACCAGAACACTTTGATTTTCCTTCCTTGTAACACACCAGTTCTCACATAGAGCTGTGATTTTGCCATACGGTGCCCTTTTAAATTCTGGAGATAAAAATGCTGAGGGAAAGAGTGGGGACAACAGTAAAGCAGTAGATCCTGAACCCAGACATAGGGACAAGCAGGTGTAAGGGCAGACGTAGGGTGCTGCATCAAGAGACACAGACATCTGGCAGGAAGACAAGTTTAAAGGAATATACTGGATTGAATTGCATTGCTTGTACTGCCAGGACATTTCATCATCCTGAGATCCTGCCCTCTACAAGGCCTGGGTGCTAATCAAGTGTATACGTGACTATTGAAGAACCACACCATTAGATATTTTTGGGATATATGTATGTACCAATGGATAGACAAACAAATGAACAAATAATGGAATAAACAGTATGCTTTTTTTCTCTATGCACTTTAAAGTCAACCATTCAGAATCGATATTCTACTTGCAAAAGAATATTCAGTAAAGTTGCTCCCAAATGACTTCATATGGCACACAAATGTTGTCTGATTCACCGGGGGCATCAACAGCACACTATATGAAATCTGGATAGTGGTAATCCTCCCAGACTCTTTACCACACCAAGGCAATTAGAATAATTAATAGCAACTAGAACTCATTGATTTAAAAAGAAATTACCACAATTGGGTATCTGCAGGTTTGCCAGGGGAATATTCTTGCTGCTTTCATTTAGGCAGTACAAGTCCTGAGTTTCTGGACTGGATTTAGTTTCTTGAAGAGTCTTGATCCACATAATGTCACAGGAGCACGTAAATGGATTGCCCACCAGGATCCTACATGGAATAAAAATGAAACCCAATCAGGCTCTTTTTTTAGTTTTAGCTACACTAGTGTTTATGAAATGCTACAACATTATGAATTCTTTCTAGCCAGCAACATTTGGAAGTCATACCCACTTTCATAGCATGACAATACTTATTATTCATTCATTTATCTAATAATTACTGAGCTGCTATTATTGTGAACATTGTAGAGGCTAAAGAATGCAAGGCAATGCTAAACCTTGCAGGATAATGGGGAAAACAAGATAAGGATAGAAATAGCTATAACAAACTATAGGAAAGAATGTCTTATAACAGGGAAAACATGGCACCATAATAAATTGATCATGGCTATTCTCTAATTATTAAGAGTGTAAGTAAAGATGCCAAAAATAAGTTTTCAGGAACACTAATATACTTATTTCTAATCAGACTAGAGACTAAAATGTTGTCATTCTCCAAACTCAAACTTCACCAAAGAGCAGTATAATTTTATCACAATTTTAAATGAAATTATAAGTAAAAAATCTAAGATAAAGGTATAGCTCTCTTAGCTTTCTGGATGATGTAACCAAGGTCCATTTCATTCATCAAAGAAAGTTAAGAGAGAAAAATTGGAAGGAAGCTCTAGACATCTTTCATAAACACACACACACACACACACACACACACACACACACACACACACCAAGCTCAGGATTTCTAAGGGCTAGGCAACTGAGCTCCAGATAAAGCTTCTTAGACTACTGTGGACGGGTCTGCAAAGAGAAAATCATCAGTGTTTAGACCTCAGCCATGCTGTCTGGACTCCTGTGGCCTACAAGGGGTGAAGAGGGAAGTGGTCAAGAGGAAAATAAAAACCACAGGAAAAAAAAATCTTTAAATGCTTATTTATAATACTCAGTGGCCTATTTAAGATGAATTCCATTTATGGTAATGAGCCTTTAAATGAAGCCATTTAAAATCGTTACATAGACTCTGCCTGGCATTAACCACAATACTTAAGATTTCCGTGAGGACAGGACCTGGGCTTTGCAACATCATTTACTCCTGTGGTTTTTCTGGTTGGGTTCTAAGAATCTCAGGGATCCCTGGAGAGTTTTCTGGGAGTTTCGTTGGGGGAAATGTGGTCATGGTAGACTGGCTTAATTTGTGTCTGCCTCATCGCTTCCAAGTATCCCTCAAACACCAAAATAGGATTTGACACTATGAGATACAGAATAAAATGCAGAAGAGACCCACAATCAGTTTAAACCCCAGTAATCCAAGATGTTTCCTAGAGTTCTGAGTAGATGAAAAACTAAAGTCTTTCTAAAAAGAGGGTGTAATTAAATCAGCAGAAGGGATAAAGAAGCGAAGGGATGCTTTAATTATAAATAGAGCGATGTTCATATGACCACACAGCACTGGCAGACGGCCGGCTCCTTCCTCCAGCTCGCTGTGCAAATTCCTTTCACAATGATTTTTACAGCATGTTACACTGATATGTTTAGGTTTCTATCTCTCCCCCTGGAGAACAGAATGCTTAACACAGAAACTTTTCTCCTTGTAGCCCCATGGCCTCGTCATTCTGATATGTAACAGGTACATAGTGAGCACTTGTTGAATGAATTGATTAAATGTGCTGTAGGGAGAATATTGAGACATGAATTTGAAACTAAAACACTAATTTTTAATCCACTCACAAAATTTTATGCAGTGGTACTCAACATTTTTACACCGAGTGCTTTACCCTACTAGATCTCATATTCTCCTTTCATTTGCATGTCTAGACATCTTTCATAAACACACACACACACACAGTTATACCATGTTCTCACAAGCATGTGGAAGCTAAAGAAGTTAACCTCAAGTGCTCGGGAGTGATATTGGCAAAATCGTATTGTTATATTTTATGCATGTACTAATATGTAACAATAAAACCCACCATTATGTTTAACTGTAATGCACCAATAAAAAATGTGGAATAGAAAAAAAAGTGATCTCACAGAAGTAGTGTATAGAATAGTGGTTACCAGAGGCTGGGGAGGATAGTAGGGAGGGGTAATAGAGACAGATTGGTAACTGGATACAAAACTAAAGCTAGATGGAAGGAATCAGTTTACTGTTCTATAGCACAGTAGGTAGATTACAGTCAACAATATTTCATTCATGTTTCATGAATGAAACATATCATTCATGTTTCAATACAGCTACAAGAAAGTATTTTGAATGCTCCTAACACAAAAGATTGATAAATGTTTGAAATGATGGATGTGCTTATTACCCTGATCATTATGTATTGTATACATGTATCAATACATAATTTGTATCCTAGAAATATGTACAATTATTATGTGTCAATTAAAAATATCTTCAAAAACGAAACATTAGGGCTTCAACTCCCTGAATTCAATTTATTCCAAATAATTGTCAATTGCCAAGACTTTTGCCAGGTAGCCCCCGTTCCTATCTATCAACATTGTCTCTTCTCCAGTGGCATCTTCCAATCTGCACAAATTCCTCATGAGTAGGGATGGATTCTCATAAAAATATTTCATGTTTCAGGAAATGCATAGTTTAAGCAAAAACCACTTCGGATGCTTCAAAGGCCTTGCTTGTCCTTCCAGGCCCACATGTGCCACACAAAACCTGCGCCTCAGGGCTCTTTGGAGCATCTAACACAGAGGAATGGCAACAGTTCACAGTTGCTTCACAGTGATAACACCAAGCATTGAGCACACTTGAAATGCTGGTTGTTAGTCATCAACACATTTAAATGTTTCTCCTATCATTTTACAGCAGAGGAAATTGGAACATGAGGATAAATACTGAATGCAGTGTCAGACCTAGAAGCAAATCTCACAATGACAGGTGGAAAGGGAGGACATCCCCTCCTCCAACATTCCCTACACCTGAGCTGGCCCTGAAGGACAGAAGCTGAGAGAGTTTTTCCCACTGTCATTTCCTCTTTGATGAGGGTGCTTTATTTTAGGGCCTGCCTATAACAAGAACCAAAAATGCCCTGAGATATAAACAGCCATTTAATGCAAAGCCTCCTGTTTTTTCCATTCTTTCCTCTATTACACAATATTTTGGAAAAATAACATTCAAGCTCTTCATAAATGATGCATTACTATCAAGATTTTTATTTTTTAATTACTAAATCATGTTTTCAGAAGGATAAAAGAACAAGAAGCCCAAACTCACGAAATAATTTTTCAAGACTTTTGATATAAATGTAGTCTTGCAATATTGCTCTCTTAAAAAATACTTAATTATCCCTTTCTTTGAAAAATTTCCCCCAAATGCCACACACTCATTACTTACAGCTCAGACAAGTCAAGGTGACGGAAATGTTTCCTAGACAAACTCGTCAGTTTATTTCGGGTAAAATTGCTGAAAGGAATCAAAAACATTAAATGTGAGTTTAAAATGCTACATCTTAGGAACAATGTATTCAAATAGAGATTTTGTTTTCAAAATATAATTTTATTTGATCTTAGTACATGTCTTACTGAGATCCAATCATCTCTCTCTCTTAGAGTGATAGCTCTGTTTTTACCCTGCTCCTCCTACAGTTCCTGTTTACTGGGAAGAAGAAGAGTATATATTTTCTGTTTCCAATTTCTTTCTTTTTTCTTTTTTTACCCCAAAGCTTATTTTTCATATTTTTATTCAGAAAATAAGTTATATACCTTATAGAGAGTTATATACCTTGTGGAGAGCCTGACCTCTTGAGCAATTAATAGGAAGATAGGTAAAATAAAATAAGATTTAAAACTACCAGCTCACTAGGGGGAAAAGATACTTTAAAACTAAAGAGTATCATGAATATTTTGAAGTTACATGACACACAAAGCTCTGAATCCGAGCTTAATGAAATTTCAGATGACTTTAGGAAACGAACACACATTCTGATTGATAAATTCTGCTGGGACTTTTTATATATGACTGAGACAAGTGAATAATTCCATAATGAGAACAATGAAAAATCAAAAAATAAAGAATACATCAGATTTCATCTTGAACTAGTCCAGCAACATAACCAACATGAGATCTGGACCAAACAGACAATGAAAGATGGTATATCTATGGTTAAAAAAAAGAATAATGAATTTCTTGGTATGTTCCAAATATGTCATTTTATTCAGTGGATGGGAGTTTCCAATAATCAGTGCCATGAGACCGTGGAGTCAATTTCCCAGACATAATCCTGGCAATTGGCTCACTCTGTAAAAATCTATTTATTGCTAGAAGTTATGTAAAGTGTGTCCAATTCTTGGGCCTCGAGACATATGTTTAATAAGTGATATAAATGTAAACAAGCATCAACTTTTATTTAAAAAAAAAAAAAGCAGCCAAGAACTGGACCAACCAGAAGAAATCATAAGGCTTTTAAAGTCTTCTTCTTACTGAGGAAAGCAAGGGTTGGGCTGAGCGTCAGATAAAATGTAAGATCTGAGGGTGACTGTAGTCCTGGCCCCTTACCTGAGGCCAGTCTGTTGTGTCAGCCTGATGAAATCATGGGGTGGAAGTGTCCTGGTGTGTCTGACCGGCCCTCTTTAGAGAGGGATTAAAGCCCAGGTGGTAATGCATGAGCTACAGCTAGTTGGTTAATGAATAAAGAACATGCCTCGTTAGTGGCTCATAATTCAAGTCTGTGTATGTCCATTCCTTGTAGAATTCTCTTTAAGATCTCTACCCATCCAAACCCCTACCTACTCAGGACACCCTCCTTCCATCTACACTTGCATCTTCTCTCTTCACACTGAGTGTAAAGTGCTCACCCACATGAAGTTGTAAAATGTGCCCACATAAATCTTTTCTTTTCGGAGCATGAATTAAGAATGGGTTTCACTGAAAAGTCAATCTTCCTGTCTTTCCCACAGTCTATAAGGCACAAACACTTTTATCTGAGAGGAAAAAAAAAAACATCACCAAAACGCCCCTCTCTTTCCATCCAAAAAAAAAAAAGAAAAGAGAAAAAAATTATACAGGTTCTCTCTGTTAGCTAGTAAACCTCCCGCACTGGAAGCAGATGCCTGTGTCAGGCTGCCAGCAGCACAGTGCAGAGCGGGGTTACGGGCCAAAGAACAAGATGAGTTTTATGAACCATACTTATTATTGGGGCCAAAAGCCAAAAAAGTGGAAGAAGGAAAGAAAAAAAATCAACAATCCTCTTACTGTTTGATTATAGAACTTCGCTAAGGAGCTAATTAGCACCTCTGCAAAGCCCCTTGGAAAATACAAATACTAGCTTTTCTCACAGTCCTTGGATTGATTTTTAGGGGCTAGGCAGGAATGAAAGGCGCCAAGAAATATGCTCAGTGACCAGTAACTGGGGCTCTGAACAGTCACCACATGATGCTAGAATGGCCAGGGAAGGGAGCAAAGTGGTGAAAGCAAAGGAGAAAATCCAATTGGAATTTTCCTAAAACCCAAAGTGAAATAGAACTGGTCTTGTACACATTTTTATATTGTCAGGGAGACTCAGAGAAATAATCAGTATATTCCACAAATAGAGAAACAACTTTTAATGCACAATTCTTCATTAGCTCCTTGCACCCCACTGTGTTGACAACTGAGGTAAGAGAGTAATTTAAATCAAGGGAAGAGCTGGTTCCAGAGTCTTCAGTCATAAGCAGAATTTGGGACTCAGGTCCAGAAAGGCAGACACCTGACTCCACTCCTCCCTCCTCAAAAGCAAACGACTATATTTAATTTCATAGTTTGGTGAATAAGATCTTCTTTCATGGTGTGAATATATGAAGCTTACTGATATCTGATCACTTCTTCATAATTGCTCAAAAACCTGCCTAATCTCACTCCATCTTGCTACTTGACCATAACTACAAATATCAGTAGAGCATTTGCACTTGGTTTCTCAACTGTCCTAAGAAACTATATGAAACACATACATGTTTTTAGTTTTCTATTTTCAAATGATACTACTATAAGCTGTGTATTGTACCTAGAACATTTTAAAAATTATTCTACTATATAACAACATAAAAACAATACACAAGGTCTATTAATAAACTGCAATTAACCAGAGCCCACTGCTCAAATCACAACATTAGGTGGTGTGATAAAACAGCCAGTAAAATGTGATTGTTGAGTAATTTGGGTCTAAGGTCAGCTGTAATGAAAATACCAGAACTTAACCACTGAGGTCATTAATTACATTAAAGTGATTGCATTACAGCATTTTGCCTTTTTCTTCTATCCAACTTCTCTCTTGTTTATGCTACCAAGGCCTACGCAGACATCAGATTTGTACAAGCAAACTGACTAGAGACGAAGCCAAAAAACATTTAAATGAAATGTGTTAATAAAGTTCCTTAGAGTTTTATTATGTTTGTGCAGAATGTTTTATATCTTAACTGCCCAGACTATTTTTAAAGTGACTTCACCATTATTACCACCTATAAAAAAGGAAATCATGATACTGGCTTTACAAAATTAAGATTTTCCCATGATATCAACAAATCTCCATAGAGTATCCAAGCAATCTACTCTGAGAGAATTTCTTTTATAACTGGCATGGAAATAAGTCAGGGAACTGTTCTTCCCAAGAATAGAAAGAGAACAAATGTTATGAGAAGAGCTGATTCTCTAATTACATGGATGGCACAAATTTTCTTTTCTGTACTTTTTTAATCATAAGAACATGGAGAAGGGTTAGCCCTCAAGTCATAATTCTGCCACCTGGGCAAGTCCTAGAACCTCCTCAAACTGATCAGGCCTGTAAAGTGGACATTTCTAAAAATCTTCCTCATGAATTCTCAAAAAAAAAAAAAATCAAGTGAGATAACATGGTGAGAACTCTACAGACACAATGTGGACTATGAGACATATAAAGTATCACTGAACAGGGGACTTGGTCTACAAAACAAATCCAGTGAATGCACACAGCAATCTGCTGGTAGAAGCTCCCTCTGGAACTCAGGAAATGGGGATACCAATCTGAACTTAGTTATGCATAGACATTCTCTACTTGAGTGACCATTTAATGAAAAAATTTCTCAGGAAGGCCACATCTTATTACCTCAAATGCTATCTAGAAGTTTTGTAGCAAACCATATAATAACTGATTTTCCGTACTTCCATTTGACCTCAGTTGACAAGGCACCCATGATTCAGGGGAAAACATTTCCTACAGTTAATAAATGTCTGAATCTTTTGCACATCCCAGGATTGATTTTTTTTCCTCCACTTGTATCAATCCACAATAGACTGTATTGAGGAAATGAAGGTTCAAAAGAAGACCTATTATTGGAGTGGGACAAGCATTAGTAATTTTTAGTTCCCTAAAAAAGGCCAAAGCCACGTCAGCTTCTTTCAGTTCCACCAGTTTGATGTCTTCCAGGGAGCATGTCTTGATTCCAGGGAAAATAATCAAGGACTCTGTGCAAGGACATAGTTTTCACATCAGACTCCTTGCTGTTGGCCTATTGCTCTGTCCAAGATGGAAATGGCCCAGGAATTCATGAAAGGGAATAAACAGGCTGTTCTAAGTACCCCTCTGAAGCCATTCAGAAATCAAACAAACTCAGAGCTAATGTTTCTAAGCTATTATCACAGCTACACTAACTTTTGAAAAAAGGAGGTGTAAGGTTGGAAAAGAAGGAAAATAAACAGAAGGGGAAAATACTGAACAAATTGGGTCCTGGGAAGCAAAAGAATCAATATCTACTTACATGTGCTGCAGGTTGCTGTTCTTCATAAATGCTTTATAAGCCACAAATTTTAATCCAGAATCCACAATTGTCCTACGAAAACACATAATTTCAGGCATATTAGAACTAACCAGCAAATGCCTTGCTTACCACAGTGGTGTACAAGAAAAATCTATGAGTTAATGTACGCAAGTCCTGAGTACTCACAGGTTTTTTAGTCCCACGTAAGCTTCAACATCATCTTCATTGATGATTTCTAACCTTTTCTGATTTGCAATAAAACTGCAACAAAGTGGAGAGGGAATACCAGTGAGTCAGAATGCAGAAAATAACAAGAAAGGATACATAACTTTCATTCAGTCTCACCAAGGTGCACAAGGTGATGTCTCTGTACCTACTCTAGCACTACACACACACACACACACACAGAGAGAGAGAGAGAGAGAGAGAGAGAGAGAGAAAGCGCGCGCAAGGAGAGCAAAATGGACAGTCTTATTGAAAAGAAACTATGACTGGCCAGGTTTCATGGTCAGTGACCAGTTCAACATATTTCGTTTTTTTTCCTTTTCATCACTTTTCCCTCCCTTTTCAGAGTATCACCAGTGTACAGAGGTGAAACTTTCTTGAAAAATACATCTACCACCCCTCACATGGGTTCCACATTCATGGTGACAGACACAGGTATGCTGGTTTCCTCACATTCAAGGGAAAATCATATTTTTCTTAACATTCCAAGAACAGTCACTTCCTCTTTTGACCTCCTGGAACACTGGAATGCATTTCTCCTCCCCACTTCATCCCTCCCTCCCCTTCTCCCCACCTGTTTTTCCTGGCCCAGCCTCCTCTTCTTCTGCCCTTGTCAGTAACAACATCAATTTTTCCTTTGCTGAACCACATGTCACAAACCCCTCATGGCCCTTAGGAACCCACATCCCCTCCTCAGACTCCAAATACTCAAATATAGGAGATTAATGACTCTGGCTGATAGTGAACTCTAGACTCTTGGCCATGATGACTGGCTTAGAAGTGTTCATGAGGCCTCAATTAGATCCAAGAATGACACAGATCTGGGGCTTCCAGTGTAATTTTATGCCACAAGGAAAGAGATAGTCTAAGAACAAAGTCACCATGTATAATAAAAGAAAGCTAATGAGATACAATGGGAGACAGAATTCTGAAAATACTACTTGAGCCTTTGGATCCAGCCATATAAAGAGAGACATAACTAACCTAAAGTATGTCACTTGCAATCAATAAAGTCCCTGGTAGTATGAACATAGCTAGAGAAACTACCATACTGAGCCAAGGGCTGTGGCACACACCTATAATCCCAGTGGCTCAGGAAGCTTAGGCAGGAGGATTGCGAGTTCAAAACCAGTCTCAGAAACTTAGTAAGGCTCCAAGCAACTCAGTGAGACTCTATTTCTCAATAAAATACAACAAGGGGACTGGGGATGTGGCTCAGTGGTTAAGTGCTTCTGGATTCAGTACCCAATACAAAAAAAAAGACCTACCATCCTGGAATTGCCATACTCTAACTTGTACTACAGTTATTCAAGTATGTGTTTCTATTTACTTTTCCTAGATCACACTGTATTTGAAGATAGAACTGTGTTTATAGTTCTTAATATGCACCACAGTACCTAACTTAGTCCTTTACACAAGGATGGATGGATGGGTGGGTGGGTGGATGAGAGGAAGGAAGATAGAAGGTTGGACAGATGGATGGGTAGGTGGGTCAATGGACAAAAGACTGGATGAATGGATATACGGGTAGGCAGACATATAATCCTTGGAGTTACAAAAGTACTGCAAGAATTATTTGAAAATATTTAAGATACATAACATATTAAGACACTGAAAACAAATATATATCCCTGCTATTAATTAGGTAAAATAAAAAAACATTAAACAATGATAGAGAATACACAACATCTATAGATTCCTTCTACCCAGTGAGGGAAAGTAAAGGATGATGGTATACTTGCAAGGGTTTTGGCAAATATTAAAAAAAATAAAAACAGATAAATTTTCTGAGGGTATAAATTACACCAAAGAGAAATAACTTTAAAATGATCCACACAAACATTGTCTCATCACATAAAAAAGCAGCCTCCAAGATAGAAAGGCATCTTTCTTTCAAAGATCATGGTTCTCCTTGACACTCAGGGCCTGTCATGTCATAAATGTGCAAGAAGGAAGCCAGTAACATATATAACAGGCAATTCCCTTCTCTCCTTCCACCGGATTCAGAAGAAGAAAATATTTTAAGATTTCAGTTAAATGCTCACTTTATAACATCAAGTATTTATGAGTGGTTCAAAAGCATCACAGTTTAGAGACATTTTTTCAAGACTTTCATTGCACTAATATTTTCAATAGAGACCACAGTGACCTCACTCTTCTAAATTATCTCATAATAAGCACTGCATTACAAAAAGTCATAAATAATTTTAACACTTTTTTCATGTCACTGGCAGCAGAAAAGATAGAAAATGTAGGCAAGGTTTCCTTTAGGGTTACCAGCAGGACTTCCAGATAGACCTACCCTGTCTTTGCAGAAAAGTTGGCTTGGTGCCTGTCATTGCTCTGAAGTCACATGGAGAGTCCTGCATCTGTCTTTACCCGGATCATCCCTGTATCCCCCATGATTTTGACAAGCACCTGACACTCAATAGGTACTTAACCAATGCCCATGAAACAAAGCACTTGTCTTTTTCTTTTCATTATTTATTCCCTTTACTTTATTTTTATTTTATTCAACCATGTATTTCATTTGTAAACTTCCTAGTCATATTCAATAAAATGCAATGAGCTAACAGACATAAGAGAAAGAAAACCAGGAGCAGAGACATCGATGGGGCCAGGAATTAGGTTTAAAAATACATATACTCATTAGGAAAGGGCCAGATTTTTAATTATAAGCTTTCTGGTCACCAAAATTCAAGGAAAGAGGAGAAAAATTTTTTTCATAAATTCATAATATTCATGAAGAGGAAAATTAAGCAAAGCACAACTGTTCTTGGATCTAAGACCAGACAGGAGATTTTATTAAAAGCCATCAAAAGAACTGTGTGAAATTATGAAAAATGGTCTTCTACTGGGGAAGAAGGAATGCCCTGGGTAATTTTTTTTTCCTGGCAATATGGAAACACCAAGAGAAGAGCTGGATGTAAAGATTGGCAAGGGCTCCTTCAGCAGTAAATTCCAAGGATGCCCCCTGTAAGTTACCATCTGTGGAGATGTCCAGTCTAGCTGCTAGCTATAAATCGCTCATGAAACCTGCCACTAAAAGCCACCACTAAGTAAGGAATTTTAAGGTTAGAAAGGAAGCCAACGAAGTTAATTACAGGCCATCCACAGAGGGGAAAACCTCAATGGCCGAGAAAATGTGAAAAACTGCTCATCTCAAAAGGAATCTGAAATGCAAATGAAAATAATGACATTCCATTCCTCTCCCACTGCAGTGACAAAATGTTTAACATCTGACAATATAAACTTATAAAGCCGGGTGTCTCTTACATTGTTGGAGGCAGTGTAAATGGATTTAACCACTTTGAAGAGCACTTATCACTATCCTGGAAAATTATAAAGCAGAACCCTCTGTGGCCCAGCATTTCCACGTCTAATTATTCCCAGAAAGAAATTCTCACACATGAACACAAGAGGACAGATGGAAGAATATTCACTATAAGACAGTCAACAGACTAATCAAAAGCCAGAAACAACCCCAGGATCCATTCACCAAGAAACGAAATTTTTAAAAATAAGGTATGGTAAAAATATATATTAAACTCAAACCAAATCTATATTTTTAGCAGAAAGAGATTTCCATGTTAAGTGGGAAAGAAAATAAGCAAAATTGCATATAAATATACACATTCAACATGAAACAAATTATTTGAAAGTATAAAAATACACAAAAGCAATACCACGTAATCAAGTACATGTAAAGGATAAAAGTGATTGCAGGAGAATCACCGGGGAAAGGAGAACAGGTATGGAATAAAGAAACTTTAAGCAACTTATTTTATTAAATTTTTAGCCTATTTCTTTTATCAGAAAAGATTTGCAAGAGGAAAAACAAAATGTTAAGGCTTCATTTCTGAATATAAGTACATGAAGTTGTACCATGTTTTTTGGAATATTTTTTAATTTATGAAGAAAAGGAGAAGGAAAGAAGAGGGAGGGACGGAGAGAGGGAGGAAAGGCGAGTGAGATAGAAAGAAAAGGAGGAGAGTAGCAAAAGAAAGAGAAATGGAGACAGCCATACAAGCGAAATGATGCAGGAAAGTTGGACCCAGCGGACTAACACACCTGCTTTCAGTTCCTGGTTCTGTAGACCATCCACAAGACTCACAGAACAGCCTCCTGCCTCCTGCCCCAGAGCCTCTGGACAGAAACAGAAGAGGAAGGTATATACTGCACTGCCCCCTCCTGGTGACTTCCACCTGCCTCCAGGGGATCCTGGTAACACCAGGCCTTTCTGGCTCTTTCATCTCAGCCAAAGGTCCATCAGCAGATTTCCCCCAGAAAAACCATTCCGCATCACTCCTGTCACCATGCTTTGGAACTCTGAGAGCTCGGCTTAATAAAACATATCTCCAAAAAGGATTTAATTTCCCAAGGAAGCAGAAGGAAAGACTGGCATTTTGGCCTGGGTCCATCTCAGGAGCTTTCTTTCCATGATGACCTTTGGCTCCTCTGACCTTTGCCCACGGTTCTAGAACACTTAGGCCCCTGAGGTTTTCATGCACAGCCTCTCCGACCTAGGCTTACCCCAGAGGAATCCCACAGCAGGTCACCATCCTCTAACCTGTAGAGGTTGATTTCATTCTCTTTAAGACGAGTTAACAGCATTTAAATCATGACAAAAAGACTTGGTGGTTTGGGATTTTTAAAATTTAATACCCCTTAAGAATATCTCTCACATACCTCTTTGAACGCCCCCCACCAGGACTTCTGACCCTTCTCCTACCCACTGGAAATCTGCTAGGAATTATTGTTGGCCGCCAGCATCCTGTGTTGTCCAAACATACCTTCCTCCTTCCTCAAGTCCATATATTGGATGTTGGCAAGGACTTCATATCATGAAAGTTACTTTTACAGCCTTTTTCCCCGTGTATTTACTAAACCCCAAAACTATTATCTTCTGCCCTAAAAACTGGATCTCATATGCTAGGGATACCTCAATGTGCTCACCCAAATCTGTCCTGAGACTGCACCCAAATCTAACCTGAAATATCACTTAAGTGACTGGTAGGTGACACCAAAAGCTTTTT